CATGACTACAAAATCACTTTACCGCCATTATCTTTTAGTATGTGCTAGAATTTATAGTTGACAAATCCAGTAAGCATACGAAGTATGATACTTTCCCTCTGGAAAGATGCAAGGTGACAGCCAGCATCTGGATTCAATCATTCATCCTGGGGACTGCGTCCACCCCTAACCTACATTGGAGCCCATGCCATCATCCGACCAGTCACGGGGTTTGTGTGCTGAGTGGATTCTGACTCCCATATGACGGAGTCGAGCGGCCCCAGAGGGTTTCCTTTGCTGCCATCTCTACGGTGGGAATTGCCAGGTCTTTTTTCACATCCAGAGCTTGGGGGGTTTCCAGAACTGCCCACGTTTTGGTTCACAGCCAGCACTGCACCCAGTCATCCGCTTTAATAACAGTCACTGGTAACTTCACGAAACAACAAGGAGCGCTCAAGGCCAACACATGCAGATCTTGTTTACTGGCAAGAATGTAAACATTTTAAAAATCTGGGGAGTAAGAATGTTTCTTTCGATATCAGTTGTGGGGGTTTTCCTCTTTTCTACAAGTCTGTAAAAATGTGGTTTTGCAGAAATGTGGTTTAGAGGAGAAAAACGGACCCTAGGACATGGCAATGAAGGAATGGGTGCATGAGAAGGCAAAGAACCTGCAACACACAGCACCGGCTTCTAAGGCCACCAGCTGTGGCTTGTAACACAGTTTCTCTGTGTTCCGTTCCTTGAGGGTCACCAGGGTCACCGGCAGCCACACAGTCTCAGAGAGCTTGTATGCTGCCGCACTTTGACAGGCTGGTAGACCAATAGGACCTTTGAAAATTCTGAGCGCAGGGAGAAAGGCCACGGGGTTTGTCCTCCCACCTTTGGAACGGAGTTGGCCAGGTTTCTAAGATTTGGGCTGGCAGAAGTGGACAGGGCTGGACTAGAAAAGACTGGCTCTCTCAGTCGTGTTGCTAGCGGGGGAATGTTTTATTTCTGCACTGCTCAATAAGGAAGCCACTCAGCCCGTGTCGGATTGAGCTCTTGAAACGTAGCTCGTGGGAGCAGAAGCCGAATGGATTGCTATCTAGTCATGGTGAACCCAGGCGTGTCAGATTCGAACTGTGCTTCATAGAGTTTTCAAGGCTGTTGTTTTGGGAACTTTCAACTTTCAGCTAGCAGCCAAGCATGCTAACTATTTGTATTACCTAGAGAATAGGTGGGAATGATGAGTCTCACTTAAAGTTTTAATGTACACTTAATAGCCACAGGCAGGGAATGGCTACCTTCCTAGACAGTGCAGATTCTGGGTGACAGCGGAGTGGCCTGAGTTGTATAGGGTTGACTGTCGTGGTGGGAGACATTGCTCAGACTTAGAAACGTATTGAGATCAGGCAAAAAACGGAGTGATAAGAATCATTATCACTAACACAATCCTTTTCAATATTGCTTTTCCCTTTTCATGTCCGCTTTGGGCCAGGCACGGGGTCTATATTTCCTTTTTCCATCTCTGTCTTACAGATGGTGAAGTCTCTTTCTCATGGAATTATTATTGGAGACAACAGATGTTCACTAATCCTGTATTTGG